TGGTCCGGCCGGGGCTCGAACCCTCGACCTCTGGCACAACAGTCCAGCGCTCTATCCATTGAGCTAACCGGGAGGTAACGCATACCTGATGTTATGGTAATTGAATGTCCCAGGAAAAAAGTTATCAATTTCCCTTGTGATATTTAAGATGTATCCGATTCTGCAGAATCGAAAGGAAAAAAAAAAAAAAACAACAACACAACTTTACAACATATTTTCAATGCGTTAGAAACAAAACTATCACGATGGATGCATTGTCCTTGGCGCCTCTCATTTCTCACACAAGCAAACACGGTCACTTGTAAAAAGTTGTAGTGTTCTTTACAGCTGTATTCATTCACAAGTACATACAATGTGCTAAATTGCATCTATAAAATACTGACCATAACCCTCTCAATTTAAATACTAATTCAAATGAACATGGGAAGTGTATCAAGAGAAATATCAGCTCAGCCGGGGGTTTGTCTCCATGTCACAGAAAAATTAAGATTATAGGTAAAGAACTTTGTGTGGATATCAGTTGGGAGATTCAATGGAGCAGGGTGGGGGATACTAGCCCCTTCCCCCACAAAAAAAAACAAAAAAAAAACTAAGAAAGGCACAACCCTCCCTTTTGAAACAGAAAAGATTGCTGAGGTGGCAGAATATTTTATGGCTTAGTCTCCAGTCTCATGATCTTTTCACAAATTGTTCCACTAGGATTGCACTTGGCAATTAACAGCCTCCTTGTGCATTGTCACAATTAGATTTTGGATTAGTTGAGCACTGCTAAGATTGCAAAGAGGTTTCCATATGCCAACCAGTTAAGCAATTCATATTTTAGAAAATTTGAGTAAGAATACACAATTGAGTTGGTGTAAGACATTATAGTCCATTGCCTGGCAGTTTAAAACAATGCACCCCCTTCACATAACTTACCCATTTTCTTTAAGTTCTTCCAAGTTTGAAGCATTCCACTCAGAGCCCTAAACAAAAAGAAACATATTACGATGGCAAAGATCTTCACTTTCATCAATCCCCGGAAGAAATAAGGAACTGTTGTTTACTCACAAGGTACACATGATCAAATATTTTGGATGCAGAGTCCATCTGTCCTAAAATGGTTAACATTTCTTCATCAATAAAAGATCTGTACTCCTTGAGTTCCATTTGTGTATCCTCTTCAAGCATGTTTCTTATCTGGAAAGATTGAGAAAAAGAATGAAGACAAATATCACCTTACTTTGAAAGGTTGCAGATACATAAATATCCAGATACATAAATGTAAATAACATAAACAGAAGTATAGTTAATAGTGACAGAGGCTATGTTGTTAAAAATGTGCATATTACTTAACCCTAACATCAGTATGCATATTCTCCATACTGTTCTCTATAAATTTCCTAAGGTCCTGACAAGGAGAATTTGATTAACAATCAAGGGCTTCTTTAGTTCATGATCATTTTCTGTTATTCTTGTGACTTTAATGTGTGATTCAGGGGAGATATTGCAAGGAGAAATATAGTGGTACCAGTGCTTTCAATAAGACCCAGCACCCACCGGAGCTCCTGTGGGTATTCTGTTGTGAGTTGCCCGGCTTATTTCACTGTGCTCAAGTCGCGGTCGCCACGCTCAAGTCGCTCTTCGGCGGGTGCTGTACCGAGGTAGCCACCTATTTAAAATCTTATTGAAAGCACTGGTTACAGGTAATCACTCTTGGAGGTCAAAGGTTTGATAAGATTAATAGTCACATCATAAACACTGTCACCTACAAGTTCATCAACTTTTTTCAAAATCGTGAAAGGTGTTAAATGAAATATTTAACACCAAAAGGCCTCTAATTTGGGTTAGGGTGACTGATTCAATTTTATGGCAGGAAAGACAGTGTTTACTGAAAGGGTGTGCTTGATCAAGAAAAGGTGCTTGGTCACAAGTGGTAGCTGGAAATGAAACTTTTTGTAATGTAACATCTACACTGGAAAAACAAAGCCCTCATTATGTTTTAACAACTATAGTGGCACAATTGGTACTCAAGATATCTTACTAATGAGGTGTTTGAAAATTGGAAAAAAGGTATGGAAAAATATGCAAACAAAACTCTTCAGAAGAGGAATTGTAATTAAGTGGACATATGTGATCACTCATCTATAAAACAGGCAGAAGGGGAGGAAGGCACTTATGAAAATTTTTTTTTCAGAAATCAGAGCTGTTGATTCCCTCTGCAGTAATTAAATTGTACCTGTCTACAAGTAACTTCCTCGAGGTCAACTCTCATCATAACCTTTAAAGTCAAACAGGATATTCAGTGAGAAAATTGAAGACCAGTATTTGAACAGAAAAAGGTAAATTGTAAAACAAACAAAACACATGTTTAAGGTGGCTGGACACAGTTTTCGCACGTGCTTTTGCTGATGCAATTCAGCACGTGCACAAGTATTGTAAAAAACAAACATGCCGTCAATAGAGCGGTTGTTTTATTTACTCAACACATACACACGCACTATCTGTGCTATTTTTCTCTATAGTTGGCACAGTGTATTGAGGGCTTTAATCATTTAATTCAAAGATATGTTAGAAAAGTTAACGGTGCAAAGAACCCAGCAATTCTCAGCTATTTTGTTGTTACTGAAAGAACCCAGTTATTAAATGCAGCGCATGCGTAGTAAGTAAAAAAATTGCGACTGAATGGAAAATTGCTTTCTCGGAAATATGCTTATTTCTTGAGAACCACTCATTAGAATTTCATGAAATTTGGCACGAAAATACTTTAGGAAATAAGTAACTGGAGTATTGAAAAAAAATTGATTTTAAACAAAGGAAATTCTAGAAAATCGAGTGAACCTTCAACAAGGGATAATTG